ATTGTTTTATAAATTTGGTAAATTATATTTTGACAATAACAACCCATTGCATTCCAAAATATGATATAAAAACATTTAGAAAACGACAAACGATTTCTATACACAAAACAAGACATTTTGATAAGCATTTTGTTTTAAAAAAGATCTATCTTTACTATTAAATTAAATACATTAACAGTTTTTAAAAGGTATTATTCTGTTTCGGTACAACAAATATGCAATTTCTGGTATTTAAAACAATATCTAAATTGTTTTGTTTAATTGTTTGTTGTTTTCTGTGTAGATCCGATGCACTGATTAATGTTTCTATTGTTTATAAAAAGGTTTAAAACTAGAACTGCCTGACAAAATAGTAAACACATTAGTCTTGTCACGATTATGTCTTAAAACGTTCCTATCGTGCGTGATGTGAAATCTTTATACAAAATAACAAAATCATAATTAATGAAAGGAAGCATTTTTTTCATTTATTGAAAGCGTACCTTTTTGTCCGTACACCGGATTAACTTCTCTTGTTCTATTCAAACCTTGACATTTTTCCAGAACAACAAATTAATTGATGAGATCTTAATCGATCTCTTTTAAAATATATAATTCCAAATGAATGGTTACGAAAGCAAGCATAGTTATTGTTACATAAGGACATGTAATACTAGTATGCTTATTAGGATATTTTTACTTTAAGCATAAAGTGTTTTTTTCTTTTAGAACAATAGTTTAAAGATCAAAAATGGCATATACAAATAAAGCCAAAATGCAAAATTATTGTACTTATTTGTAAAATATGTACGTAGCATGTAGGTTTTATAGCAATATGTATGTACTTCAGTTACCAGATTCCTAAGTGATTCACAAAATCAAAGTATAGTAAGTGTAGTTGTATTCCGGTAAAAGAGGCGTCTGCCCCTTATCCCAGCCAAAGTGGGTTTGAGCCCAACATGCTTCATCATATTTAACATAATGGAATGCGGACTTAAAAAGTGGTTATTAAGGTTTCCTCACAATAGTGCTAAAGGGTACAATAAATGTATAAAATATCAAATACAATTAGGAACAATCACACTGATTGAAAAATAGAACAAACCGAACAGTCAAATAAATTTGCTGCGCCTTGTACAATAGCATCAGGGTTTTACACTGTTTCCCATTTACCCCATTTCAATAAAATTACGTGACATGGTGATATTATCAAAGTGTTAGCTGAATAGATTCCCTTGCATTTCATGTAAGCATGTTTATAGTAATTTTAACAATGCGTTTGCTAGTCATATTTTACATGAAATTACTCGTGAAAGGTATTTTGAACCGGTTTCCTACACATATGATTTTGATATCACTTGAAAAAAGATACTTGAAACTTTGCAGAGAATACACAAATACAAAAATTACAATCTTAATTAGGAAATAAACTTCATATTGCATTATATTGTATATATTGGCACATCCTGGTATTAATTATATTTGCCCTTATTATCCAACCAATAGTTTTTCATTTAAATGCACTTTAACTCGTAAACAATAAGTAACACGATGTCGACACATCCGTGAACTGTCGCACTCAAAGTAATTTCCATTAAATTTTAAATCAAGAAAAACTAAAAGGGCCGTATAAAAATGTGTACGCAAGCAGTTCATTATAGTCCTAATTCAATTTAATGAAGCAACACTTAATTCCGCGTCTTTTATAATTGTTTGTTTCTCAGCTTTTACGCCTATTTCAAAACATTGCTTTTATCTCACTTATTTTGTCTCAATCACTAAAAAGCAACATTGTTGTTACTATGGTAATGGCAATTCTGGTAAACATGTTGAATATACGAGTAAACATTAATATATCCAAAACACTAAATACAACTAGATTAAAATAATTGTTTACACAAGAATATTTGATTTCGAATAAATAGTTCTGATACAAAAGAAACATTTATAAATTTTCATCTAATATTCTTTCATTCTCTAAACAATACATGAGTTTACACATAACAATACTGTCAATTAGATAAACATTAAAACAACAACATACATATGATATACAATTATAGAATAAACATTCATTTGTCAATTTGATATTTCAAATTCTACCGAATGTCACAAAATATATGAACATCACGTAAATTTAAGTGTTGAAATGTAAAAACAAATTAATTGCTTTCCATACGTAAGTTATTATGACAATCATTTAGACCATACAAAATCAGACTGGCGTTTCCGTTACTTTTAGCCATCTGAAATTTCATCTGATATTGGGGTGCCAGATGAGTCGCGAGCTGTACAATGGAACGCTTAGGATGACGCATTTTTATAGCTATGAATAAAGTTGTAATTTTATACGCTGTTGTAAGAAAATAGTTACGAGTGCAATGACATAAATTTTCATGGAAACTTGGTTTTAAGGTACAGGGTGGTTTAAAATATATGCGAATGTGGTAGAATATGCAAAGGAAAATTATCAATTAATAATAACCCACATTATTTCTAAGGTTATAATCTGGAATGAAATAACAAGTTATTAGGAATATCATTTCGTACTGAAGTAGTTACTTGATTGTAATATGCCACAATGAAAGCACAATATAAGAGGTTCTTTTCTCTTGAGGAGTATGAATTGGAAGCTTTTCAATTGATAACATTGTACACAAAACAATAAAGATAGAAATATTTTGATATTTAATTAAATATAGCTTAAATGGTCGAACTCTGAATACTCATATACAGCACAAGTCAAAATGTCACAAACAATCAACCAGGCCACTCATCAAGTCTTAACAAAGACTACAACCATCTCTTATCTCCATTTAGTTACCTGAAACAGAACTTCTACAATAAAAGCTATAAAATTTTGTCACCAGACTCCTTTTATTAAAGAGATATGTTAGTCCAACAAAAATTGTCAGAGCACGAAATATTACATCAATACAGCATATCTAATAATATATTAATAAGTAATAATACAAATTCATGCGTTGTGCTTTGATTGTATCATTTATAAAATGATTCATTTTAAAAGTGTTGTATAAAAATTTTATATGCTTGAATTTATTTTGAAATTGATATTTTGTTGTCCAGATATTCCATGATTTTCCACTAGGAATGCATATTCTTTTTTTGATCGTAGTAGGTCTTTATGACGTTTGTTACATTTTTCATATATTCATTTATCCAGAATGAAACTGTTCTGTTTCATACAATTTATTTAACATTTGTATTATAATTAAACATCATAAAAGAAAAATTAAACACAATTTGAAATGATCGATGTCGTCTTTAAGGCTGTAGCTTTTTGTGCGTTTTTTGTTGTTTTCGTTTGTATGCTTTTTGTTGCTGTTGTTTTTCTTTTTAATGTTGTTCTTGCTTTTGTTTTTGGTTCTATGGCGGGGTAGGAGGGGGTGCCACTGAATATGATTTGTTTGCTTATTTCTAAGCAGATTAATCACGATAAAATCATTTTGTTTCTTATCAAGTATAATTATTATACTTTATCCACTTTATGTTTACATCTTCTATCAAATTTCATTGAGAAACTGAGTAGAATTATTAACAATAAAAAGTTTAAGAATATTAGCGGATATGCAATCAAAAAGTGAACATCATTAATTAGGACATATTCAAGATCAGCGTTTGATGTCGGAATAAGTTGCAGAGTACAAGGGAATAAATTGCAGAGTACGTGAGTAATATATATGCATGAAGTCCCCCAGGAACAATATTGTTGACAGAAATAATGAGAATTACGGATATTAATATTGTCCTACAGATGAATATTTAGCGAATAGAATGCCATTATTTCGAATTGCACTAATTGATTGCTCATTTCACAAATACTTATCGTTGATTGAAACATGTCATGGTAAGGTTAATATTCTCTAGGCAAAATTTCAAGCATTGCGCATTAACTCTGCAATATTTGATACATCAAAATAATGAATATGAAACGTGATTTTTTTTAGCCAAAGCAATCCATTTCGATAGGTCCTTATACGAGTATAAGTATATATGGCATTCACGGTAGCATAATTGAAACTTTTTTTGCCTGTTTTACATTAGTTACAATGTAAAACTCGAGGTTTATCCACTGTGACCAAATTCAAAATATTTCAAAGCAACATAGTTCACGGATGTCACCGTATTTGACCCATACCATTTTCAAAATATCTAAAGAATTGTTCGAAACATGTTCATACTCAAAAGGTGTTGTTAACATTTTATTGTATTTATATAAATTAAAAACAATGATAAGTATAAGCATACATTTTGATATTTTAATTTTCAGCTCTTTAGTTTCTTTTAAGTACACATGACAAAAAACTTAACAATTGTAATCTATTTACAAATAACAATGAAACAATAAAAAGAAGCACAATACGAATGATATTTCAGATGACTGGAAAACAAACAATGGTGGTGAAATAATTTGTTTTGAGCATTTAAATTAGATAATATAAGTATACAAATATAATTATTGGAAACGTAAGATATAAGTTTCTTAAAATGAAAATGGTGCATTTTCCTCATTTATCTATTGCTGTAAAGCAACAGAGTCATAAATAAACTTTAAAACTCTCACATCAAAATAAAACCAGAACGTGAAGTGAAGAATAATTATTTCATTATTGATATTGTTTAAATGCACTTCTATGATGATTGTAGTCCAATGTATATAACACGCGCATTTCCATTAATATGATCAATCTCGTTGAGCTGTTGTATATTTGACTTTCTGAAAGCTGAAGATAAGTGAAATACATGTAGAACTCATCACAAATTCAATCATATTGTGTAGAATTTTAAGTCACACCGTCCCTGTCTAGATCATTTAATTTCCTGGTGGAAGACTATCTCAGATGCTACTTCATGTTAAGGCACAGTCGGGCACCTGAGTAGAACAATTTTTCTTCCGTTAGTTAGCTGGAATGCTTCCTCACATGAAATAAAATCAAAAAAAAAATTCCTGGAGTTCTTTTCTACAGCGGTGAGTAGTCTGTGATCAATGTCTGCGACTCTTTCTACTGAGCAACAGAAGGCCATTTAAATAATGTGATAGCAACGTATAGGTTTTTTCGATCATTGTTTCTTGAGTTTATTTCAAACAAAAACATTATTATACTTTTATTAAACAGTTTTTTTTTATTTTTATCTAATTTTCTCCCGATTGTATGCTTGGAATACAACAGTTATTAAAATAAGTAATAAAGCATTATAAAGGTGAATTTTACATACAATTTTCAAAACCACCCTTATATTTCTTTTTATCCCGTTTATAATAACAAATCATATATTTGAAAAGAAGTTTTTTTTCTGATGTATGCTATTTATGTTTCTTTTAATTGTTATATAAATAAAAATGTTCATATTTAGATATATGTTTCCATTTAATAAAACACTTTTCAGATATTTAGAAAATTGTGATCATCTGATATCTGTGTATTTGATGGAGAGCTGATTCCTTCCTTCAGTTTTAACATTAAATAGAAGAAAACGTGACTCCAAGTGTCTGAGACATCCTTTGTAAACTTTTCCCCCATGCATATTTCCCAGCGCCACATAAGCGCTTCGTAAAATACTTCGAAATACTCCGGATTGAAACCCGAAAACTGTTTATGTTGTTGACCCAGAACAAGTAATATCTTATTGAGCTCATCTTTGTCAGTATCCTCATCATCCAAGCAATGAACCGCAGCACCTATAGCAAGAATAAATCTGTGCCCATGTGCTCTAATTGATTGGTTCTTTGAAAGTTCTGAATGTCGTACATCTTCAACATGAAACAATTTCTTTACATCTGGGCTAAGTTCAAATATCCTGAGAAACACTTGAAGGCCATTTTCAGCAAGATCCTTTGTCATATATTTCCAAGTTTCTTTAACGATTCGTTTCTCTTTGAATGTTAGCTCATTTTGATAAGATTGCATCGAGGCTATTTTAAGATATTCTTTACAATTATCTTTATACGCGTTCTCCCTTTTTGATGAAGATACACATCCCATTTTATAACTTTAAAAATATGTTTCTAGTATATTTCTACGTAGTAAACACAACACTGTTGCTCTGACTGAAAATATGTTCTCTCTATCGCAGCATAATTGTTATTGTAATATTTAAGTGCTTTGATCTCATAACTATGATATCACGTGACTCTCTCTATTCGCTTCTCATGTGTCGAAATACTAGTATAAATTTCCAATATAAATATATTGCCTTCTGGAGCAGCTGGCAGATATTAAACTGATGCTCACTTACAACCTGATATTGTCAATATTAAAGGCCCAATACGCCTCAGACATGAATAAATTTATCATTCTATACAAAAGCAAACATGAATTTATAACGTTGAAATAATGGTTTTGGAGCATTTCTAGATGCTTATAACCTAAGAATTAGCTTTGAATGTGACATTATATGCCATATAAGTAGCAGAATGTTAACAAAGAAGTATTTTGACTTCCAAACAATATACAAAATCATTTCAACTGTACTAATTGCCGAAATACACAAGAAGCAAACTATGTTACAGGTAATAGGTCAGACAGTAACGTTTTGAGAAACAATATCTGGACACCAAAATAAATAAAACCTTTAGTAACTAAAAACTAAAGGAATTTCTGGGACACACTGGGCCTTAAAAGGTATTTCATTAATGTATGCGACATGATGTTAATAGTAAACTATGGTGATTACAATACACCTTCCGTAAGATGCAAAAGATAGGTTATGTATATAGCAAATGAGTATTTTGCACACTGTAACAAGATACCATAATAAACAGTTTTTGCGAAATAAAAATGATAGCATTTCTGAGGATTGATGGGCCTTTATGATATTTGTTTCCTCCTTGAATTATTTTATCAGCAGTTTATAGCAGGATAAGTTGTTCGACAAAAATCAGCCATTCACACTTGAGCAGCCAAAGCCAGTTATTTGCCGAGTAACATGAAACATCACACCCTCTATGTCACGAGGTAGGAACTGTTACACCACGAGGAACGGAGTTCTTATGATAACAAATTGCACCAGTTCATGTTTAATGTTGAATTCTGCTTTAGCCGGTGCTAGGGGGCGTGGAGGTAAACTTGCACTTTCCAGTACCGTTCATGAACAGGCTTAATCAAACCGAGCCTGCAACATTTTACAATTTTGCCGTGTTGGACTTTCTTTAGGGACTCTTGCTTTCTCTATTTTGTCAAGAGTTCTTGTGATAAATGTCACGGAGTTCGTCGGAAAACTTTTGTATATACCAGATAACACTCGTCAAAAATTGTTATTTTCATTTTTAAAAAGTGAGTTTTAGGTGATGAATTAAACATTTAATGATGAAGGTTACTTAACATCTTTTATTATGTGTCATAAACTAAGCCATTGTCCATTTTCATCGCCTCTTGTATAAAATCTGGTAGTTTTGAGTAAAATGTCCAAATTATTTGCCAATTCGCACATATTGACCTGTGTATTTCTGGTCTTATCATTGCCATACCTTATTACCTAATTATAATGCAAAATTGCAAGCATTAAGCCCTGGCTAAGAAATTTATGCCCATTTGTTTTCAAATGCCCTTGAGTTTTTGTGACAACTCTGAAGATGTCCTAGAGTTCTTATATAATAACCTTTGTTACAGGCTCCAGTGTTTATCTTGTGCTAAATCACGGCATTTTAGCGTGTTTGTTTTAATTCAATATTGTTGTAAAACATTATACAATATAGTATGTTCATCCTTTGCACAAAAACAACATTCTTACTCAAATATAAAATTGAGAAAATCATTCTTTTATATAAAGATCCTGTATTTAGTGACTTTAAAATGACAAAATCAACTGTTGCTGATCACGTTTCCACAAGTCAAGTAAATATTCAATAAAACATATGAACGCCTTTCTCGAATGTTCTCTTTGTTTGTATACGCATAACTCCTTTTCTGGCTGGAACGTTCTGCAGAATTAAATAAACAGTCATGATAAACTTTCCTTTTAAATTGAATCATTACAATTGGAAGTACTTCAAATTAAACAAAATTAACAAGTCGAGCTTATAGGAAAACGGAGTTCAGTTCTTAATGTCTAATTGTATTGTTATTAGAATCTAACTTCTGAAAAAGGAATACCAATCAACGTTTATTTTTATATGATACGTCAGTATTAAAATCTACCTTAAAAATAAGTAAAACTCTAGGAAAATGGTACAATTACGAATCAAGATTAATAAGAAAACATAAAAGGAACTCGACCGAAAACTATATTTGATTATTTCTGCAAACTATGCGACAAATTCCTCTTAAAAAACTTATCAAACTATCGCCAGCACAAGTTTAATTAAAATACAATTCTAAACAGTTTTATTTCATCAATATTTTAAAGAAACCGTCAATGCTTATGCGCTGAATTTTTATAAAACGACGTTTCAATTAACCTGCACTTAAAGTACACATAGTTACAGACAGTTATTGCACAATTTAACTTTTTAACAAATAAAGAGACGACACCGGTGAAGATTACGGAATACGATTTACAATGATTGAAACATCCGTTAACAACTAGATATGCCTTTGATTCAATCCTTTTATCCGAAAGCTTAACCATGTTAATGGAAAAGAAACATTGTATAAATGATATTATTTAATACGTTATCTTCGTGCAATTGTATTAACACAAGATACCACGCTATGTATAACATAAACAGACATTCAATATCAGATTGAGAAGTTAACATGTGCAGTAAGTTATAAACAAATCCCTCAGGCACTAACCAAATACTTAAGCAGTTGCATACTAACTACCAATGTTAACACCAATAATATATGCAATAAAAATGTGGCACTCAAAACATCTGACTCAGCTTTGCAGATAAAGTGAGAAATACAATCATTATAATAAATCAACTCATGACAACCAAATAGATAAAGTATTGATTAAATAACATCTATAAACAAATGATCTAGTGTAAGAATAAATTATATAAAAATAGTGTGCTATCATCAACCTAGAGGAGTGTTGCACACTTTCAGGATTATATCTGTAAAACAGTTTAACTAAAATGTCAGTAATACTTTTATTACAATGTCTGTAGCTCACAATTTAGGTTTTAGTCATTTTTACATATTCAAATCTGCTTTGTTAGTACAAAATGCTAAAAATGGCATTGTATTGATCAAGTCTGCTTATAGATTTTGCAACAATAAATGCCACAGGCACGATTTTAGCAAATGTTAAGACTATAACATCATAATAATTACATAAAGCTTATATTAAAGCTTGACATTGTTTCCAGATTGTTATATTTTTGTCACTGTAATTCACGCACCATTATAGTCTCCATCAATTTTTTTTCACAGCAGACAAATTTACATTCAAGTGAATTGGTATCTAACGAAAGATATGTAATGTTATAAATAATTATTTTGAGATTACTTAGTGTCATACATAATAACAAACCACCAAAGAATTATGTATGGATGTTATTGGCATGGGTAAAATGCATCTTCTGATATTACATATATCTATATTATAGCATATAATAAATTGTTCTAGAACAAATGTTATTATTCATCACACAAATGTCATACTTTATCACTTAAAGAATTATATCAAAATTTCGTTATGAAGAAATATATTTTATAAGACTAGTATCCAAATAATACGTTTGTATTGTTTTTAGCAAAATTAGAAATAATAATTTCTAATTAATTTAGAAATACTTACTGAAAACGTGCCAATTGAACACCAATTCACTTTAATGGCCGTTGACAAGTTTTCTAGAAGAAAGCACACAATAATATAACTTCAATATTGTGTACCGATCTCCTGAATGTTCTGTTCTCACAATATCAAAAACCAATTCTCCTTTGTTATGATCTGCTTTTGGCCCAGTGATTTGTATTGGTCTGTGTCAATTCATTGAGAAATTTATCCTATTAAAAAACTATTTCATATTGTATTTCGACTATTTCTAATAAAATTGTAATCAAATTCATTGATTATTACCCAATTGTTACCCCACTTACTCATAAGCATACGCGTAACATGTATTCTGATGTTTAAAATAAACTTTATCTCTTCTTACAAGATTGTTATTAAAAAAAACCTTGAAACAGTTGATCATAACATTTCTATGGAATTATTTCTGTCGTCTTATTATTACTATTTTATAATGAAGTATTTAGAACAAAATAAAAAGGGCAATTTGTATAAATTAACTCTTTAAATTAAAAACATAATTGGATAGTATCCTATGTATGATTTAGATTTCTGTTTACTGTAACAGAAGTCCTTATTTTAAAATCTGGAGACAAATTGATCCCTCGGAAGCATTAATCACAATAAAATTACAAGAGAATTGCAGACTCGGTTTGATTGAGTCTGTACATGAGAGATAATTAATATGTGCAACATCCCTCACGCCCCCTAGCACCGATACTGATTTGATTAGTTACAACTTAGTTTGTACGATTATAAGTTGTTAACTAAGTTGATTTTCAATACTAGTAATTGGTAATCAAGTAAATTGAACCTTATATACATGTGGACGTAAGAGTTAATAGATATGTCGTGGAGATATCATATCCTTTGGGAAATGACATCTATAGCGGTTATAGATATAGATTTGCTCATTTTTGTGCCTTACGAAATAATTATCTTGTCATTAGGCCCATTCTATTATATACGTGTAGATGTATATGCCGATATAATTTTGAATGAATCAATAGCTACAGTACTTAAAGCATTCGAATGAAATGTTTGTGTTACATTGCAATTAATAAATGAAGCAATGTGCAACGAACTGTGGAAAATTACACAAATAGTTCGGATCTCATCATTATTTCGTGTTTTTAAAGAATCGGTTTCTGTTCTTTTCCCTCTAAACAATTGATAACTCACTTATTATCGTACAAACTATATTAAAAAAGATAGAATGTGGTTTGAAATTGGATTCTCACAATCTGTCACATACGCTAGATCAGGGACCCGAACAGCCGCCTATGGACACCAGACTTGACGGAACATGAGATACAAATCATAAAATCGACTTG